AGTCTGACACCTGCACCTCCACATCAAGCTTTCAGAGCACTGCCCTTTGTCAGGCATTTCCAAAAGCCTGTGATTTCAAATAAACCTGTTGGACTAAAACCTGGTGTCATTTGACTTCTGACCTTGCACATCTTTGGACTGTGGGAGGAAACTGGAACATCCGGAGGAAACCCACGCAGACATGGGATGCAGTCACCCAAGGGCGGAATCGAACCTGGGAGGTCCCTGGCACTGTGAGGTTGCGGTGCTAACTACTGAGCCACATGCTGTCCCCTTGAGTCAGATATTCCCACAACTTAGTGTGGGCATTGCAATTTTCAGAGGACATACTTGAGGTATTTCTTCTGCCTTTCCGGTAACAGATAGTCATGACAGAGCTCAGAGTACAGAGCTTGTTTTGGAAGCTATGCCAGGCAAGCAGACTACGTAGTATGCTCAATGTAGTTATTTGACACTAACTAGTTCCTCATGGCTGCACAAGTTAGCCTAAAAGAGTGATATTGGAGTGCTTTGCCTACCAGTAGATTTGCAGAATTTTGCAGTATTGGTTATATTTTTGCTGTAGGAAACAGAGGGCACGTAATATTGCTGCCCTGTAGACCAGGAGCTCAGTAATAAGTTTGAAGTCTTTGAACATAAGAACTAGGAGGAGGAGTAGGAAATTCAGCCCTTTGAGCCTGCTCTGCCATTTGATATGATCATGGCTGATCTCATCTTCGCTTCAACTCCACTTTCCTGCTCATTCTCCATGACCCTTCAACCCATTACTAATTAAAAATCTATCACCTCCTTAAATTTACTCAATATCCCAACATCCACCATACTCTGGGGTAGTGAATTCCAAAGATGCATGACCCTTTGAGAGAAGTCATTTCTCCAATCTGTTTTAAATCTGCTACCCCTTACCCTAAAACTATGACCTCATTCCATCCTTTCTACGCTATGTGAGCAACTTCCATTAGCATCTATATACCTCAATTAGATCTCCTCTATTGTTCTAAATTCCTGACAGTCTAAGCCTAAACTACTGAATATCTCTTCATAAGACAAATCCCTCATACCTGGAAACAATCGAGTGAACCTCGTCTGAACTGCCTCCAGTACAACCATATCCATCCTCTAGCAAGGGGCCCAAAATTGGACGCAATACTCCAGCTGCAGTCTCACAAATGCTTTGTACAGTTACAGCAATACTTCCTCACTTTTATACTTCATTTCTTTGGCAATAAATGCCAAAATTCCATTGGCCTTCCTTATTACCTGCTGTAACTGTATTCTAGTTTTCTGACGTAATATCATCTCTGTATGTGGCATACGAGTGGCAATGATGAATTTCATTATCGATATCTACTCTCAGCAATAGGAGGCTCCTAGGGTATGAGAATTGACCACATTGTCTCATGGCTTGCTGTGGATCTTGGCAATTGAGGGACAGAGTTGTATGGTAGGAGCAGGCAGTTGGAAAACCTTTCTCTTCTGGACTTTTAGCCACTTATACAATCACTGGTGTTTTTGTGCCAGGCAGATGGAGATAGTAAACTGAATTGTCGGTCTAGTAGTCATCAGCTCCTGTCAAAATGCAGGTGATGCAGACATCCTCGTGCTCCGTCAATTAGGTACCAATGTCTGGAACAAGGGAGTTGCCATGTAGTCTTGTATCTGTCTCTCTGATGAAGTAGTGTGCTTGTAACAATCAGCCATGTTCTAGGCATTTTGTCAGGAGGATGTTTAATAATTACCTTTTCAATGCCTTCCTTGCAATTCATGCCTTTCCAAAGGTTTATGTCTCTCTCAAGTCTAGCATTGAAATCACCAGGATGTTCAGTTCTTTAACTTCGGGGATCTGGGACAATGATTGACTAAGGCTGGTGCAGAATTCATCTTTGGCCTCATCTAATGCTTTTAGGGTTGAGGCAACACATTAGTGACTGCACGACTGCTCTAGGGTTAGGATGTGCCAAGGAGTCATGAGGTGTTCATTTATTCTACAAGGGGACAGACTGAGATAGTGAACTAGTCACTTTTAAATGGTGAAGCCAAGCACAGGAATTGGCATTCCTCTTCAGATTTTCCTTGCAGAAAGTGCATCCATCACATTTTCTTTGGAGCTGACCTTCTTCGGCCTGCCATATCTCACTCATGCCAACAGTGCAAATGTTATAGATCTGGTTACTTTCTAGATGAGATGGAGTTAAATACAGTGGCTGTCCTAAAGATACTTAGGAGTTCAGGTGCATAGATTTTTAAAATGCCACACACAGGTGCAGAAAATAATTAAGGCAGCTAATGGAATGCCAGAATCTGATTGAAGTCTTCAAGATATCAACATCTCTTGAGACAATAAAGCAAGCTAAGGATAACGTTCAGGCTTGGGATGATAAGTGGAAAATAATATTGACATCACATTTTTATTCTATTCATTTGAGGGATGTGGGCATCGCTGGCTGGCCAGCTTTTCTTGCCCATCCCTAGTTGCCATTGAGAAGGTGGTGGTGAGCTGCCTTCCTGAACCACTGCAGTCCACCAGCTGTAGGTTGACACACAACGCCATTAGGGAGGGAATTCCAGGATTTTGATCCTGCAACAGTGAAGGAACGGCAATATATTTCCAAGTCAGGATGGTGAGTGGCTTGGAGGGGAACTTGAAGGTAGCGGTGGTCCCAGATATCTGCTGTCCTTGTACTTCTAGATAGAAGTGGTTGTGGGTTTGGAAGGTGCTGTCTAAGGATCTTTGGTGAATTTCTGCAGTGCATCTTGTAGATAGTACACACTGCTGCTACTGAGAGTTGATAGTGGAGGGAGTGGATGCTTATGGTTGCAGTGCCAATCTGCCTAGCCCTGGATGGTGTCAAGCTTCTTGAGTATTGTTGGGGCTGCACTCATCCAGGCAAGTGGGGAGTATTCCATCACACTCCTGACTTGTGCCTTGGAGATGGTTGACAGGCTTTGAGGGGTCAGGAGGTGAGTTACTTGCCGCAGTATTCCTAACTTCTGGCCTGCTCTTGTAGCCACTGTGGTTATCTGGTGAGTCCAGTTGAGTTTCTAGTCAATGATAACCCCCAGGATGTTGATAGTGGGGGATTCAGTGATGGTAACACCATTGAATGTCAAGGGGTGGTGGTCATAGCCTGGCATTTGTGTGGCGTGAATGTCACTTGCCACTTGTCAACCCAAGCCTGGATATTGTGCAGATCTTGTTGCATTTGAACACGACTGCTTTAGGATCTGAGGAATCGCGAATGGTGATGAACATTGCACAATCATTGGTGAACATCCCCACTTCTGACCTTATGATGGAGGGAAAGTCATTGATGAAATATGTGAAGATGGTTGGGCCCAGGACACTACCCTGATGAACTCCTGAAGAGATGTCCTGGAGCTGAGATGATTGACCTCCAACAAATATGACCATCTTCCTATATGTCAGGTATGACTGCAACCACTGGAGAGTTTGTCCCCTGATACCCATTGATTTCAGTTTTACTAGGGTTCCTTGACTGGCCAAATGCAGCCTTGATATCAAGGGCTGTCACTCTCACCTAACCTCTGGAATTCAGCTCTTTTGTTCATGTTTGAACCAAGGCTGACATGAGGTCAGGAGTTGAGTGGCCCTAGCGAAACCCAAACTGGGTGTCACTGAGCAGGTTATTGCTGAATATGTGCTGCTTGATAGCACTGTTGATGACACCTTTCATCACTTTACTGATGAGAGTACACTGACGGGGTGGTAATTGACCAGGTTGGACCAAGTGGGAATCTAACCCCTGTCCGCTTGACAATCAATGACATCGGCCCTGTTGAATTTCCAATAATCCATATCCTGTCTGGTGGGCCTCTATCAATCAAAAGCCCAATTGGACCAGTTACATAATTCTGCAGCCACACGACCAGATTGTCTAGCCTGCATACGGTTATATACAAGCAAGTAAATCACTGCTTGATTGCAATGGCTATTTCCAAGGCACAAGTCAAGCATATAATGGAATACTCTCAAAGTGCCAAGATAGGTGTAGCAAAAACAACAGAAGTTCAACATTATTCAGGACAAAACAGCCTGCTTGGCTGGCTGTCTATGCCATTTATACACCGTGCCAACAGTATGACCGAAACTTGCCAAGTCTTCTTCAAAAGCATTCTCCAAACCCATGATTCATTCCCTAGTAAAACAACGGCAGCAGATGCTTAGGAATGCTATCATCTGCAAATGCCCTCTTAAGTCAAACACCATCCTGATGGGAAAATATGTTGCAGTATCTTCACCACTGAAACATCAAAATGTTGGAACACCCTTCCTAACGTACTGTAGATATACCTACCCTACATCAACTACAACAGTTCAAGACGGCAGCTTACCAACAACTTTCTGAAGCTAACTAAAGGTGGGCAATTGATATTTCAAATAAATTGCCAGAACTACTCTCAACTGTGAACAAATTAAAAAGAAATGGGTGTGTAGAGTTAAAATGTAAATGAGCCATTATCCATTTAAATGCTGGAATTGTTTCGAATGGCTGAAAGGCCTATTCCTGTTTGTTTATCCTTAGTTGGAATTCTTTCTTTTAAAACTACTCAGCTTAACCAAGTTAGTGCTCAGTTTTGTTACCTTCCAACCAAGAGCAGAAGGACAAATCAGCAAGTTTGCATATGTTACCTCTGAGCCTTCAACTGAAGTTATCTATGTTCATGCAGTACAAAAAAAATCTACGTTATTGGCTATAAAAGCTTTCGAGAAACTAAGAAAAGTCTTAAACCAATCCACAGCATAAAAATTTCCTCAGAATTCATTACTGAACTGGCTGCACTAATTGCAAGAGGTTGTAAAGATCAAACTTAGTTTTTGATTTATGGAGGAGAAACTAACTGCACCTGACCATAATAGATCTGACCTAGGGGATGTTCATTGCTGACACTAGGCACCAAGAGTGATCTATTTACAATGTAGACATTCTTAGTGTTTTAAAAAATCAACCTCATAGTTTATGATAATCAAAATAACTCACCGAGTCACCTGTTCCTTTTGGATCAAATAGTGTAGCAGCAGGATTTCTTTCAGCATGTAACAGAGGTATTAATGAAGCAGAATATGTTTCAACATGCTCATCAGGAAGAGTCATATCTGACTGGGACTTGAGGATTGACTGTACTAGAGATGGCTTTATGTTAGCCTCTGATTTCAAACTTCCTGAAACATAAAAATATTGTAAAAGAGCCCACTTTGGCATCCAGTGCTATTAACAGCTGTAAATGTTTCATTCAGTAGGAAAGACAAGTACATAAGTAACATATCTGTCCTGTTTACATCAACAGTGGGACAGGCCTTGGTTTGTTCTTGAAGCAAAGCTATCATTGCACATAAAATGCTTAAAAGTAGTCTTCTGTGCTCACTGGCAGTCACTGCTGTAGTGAGGTTTGACATGGATAAAGGTTGTGTGTAGGGACACAGCTACAGAAATGTGCAAGGCCACCCAGGGAGATGATAGCATATGTCTGGCGCTCCCTATTTTTGCCACCTTTCTCAGGTCTAGTTGTATTTCCGCAAACCTGTCAATTCTCGTGAATTGATCAAGAAGATACAATTTCTTAGTAACATTATATTTATTTCAAAATTATGAGAAAACTCCACAATTCAAGGAGTAGGATGTACCTCTTTGCTTAAAAAAATCCAAGGTGGGGCAGGTGAAGGTTGGTAGTTTGGAGGCCTATTAAAGAGTAAGAGGGTGTGGACTGGGCGGCTCTGCCATTGACTTCAGCAAAAGCTGCAGCTGTTGAAGTCAGAAACAGGATAAGGGATCAGGCAAGACACCGTGACAAATCTCTTGGTTAGAACTGGTGAGATACTAACAAATTGTTCATTTGCTCAGATCAGGAGTGCCACATTGTGTCCGTGTCTGTTTGCTGGATCTAGCTGGGTGATGCAAGGAGCCCCAGTTGGCCTTATGTCCAATAGCTATGGAGAAGCAAAGTCAAGATGGCTTCTGAATTGCTGCCCAGGAATTCTAGCCAGTAAGTACATACAGACATATAGGTATAGACTTGTGTGTGGATATTGGCTGAAAGCAAAATTGTACTCATCTCCGATGCCTTTTGTGTCAGCAGTGGCTCAGTAGTAGCAGTCTCACCTCAGAATCTCAAGGTTCCAGATCCAAGACCCACTCCAGGACTTAAGCACTACAAAAAGTTTGACATTCCAGTACAGTACCAGTAGGATGGGAGATTAAACTGAGGCTCCAACATCCTGCTTTGATTAATATAAAAGATCAAATGGCATTATTTCAAAGAAGAACAGAGGCGTTATCCTTGGTGTCTTGGCCAATGTTTAGTGACATGCCAACAGCATGGGTTCAATTCCTGCACCGGCTGAGGTTACCGTGGAGGAGTCTCCTTCTCAACCTCTCCCCTTTCCTGAGGCATGATGACCCTTAGGTTAAACCACCGCCAATCATCTCTCTCTAATAAGACAGCAGCCCTATAGTCTGATAAGGCAATGGTGACTTAACCTTTTATGGCTTTTTGGTACTCACTTCACCTCCAGAATTAGTGGGTACATGGTGCTTGTGGTGTGAGAGTTTCTGCATGTATGTGCATGTGCTGGAAGAGTGTTTGAATAAAAAGCCTGATGTAATGCAACACTCAAAAGATTTGTCTTAAGATGCCACAGGAATAACATCTTGAAATATTTCGAGTTCACTTTAATTTCCTTAAAATATCAGTGACATCATACTTGCAATCTGTTCTCTTATGTAATAGTTATTTTAATCAACTGTTTTGACACACCTCTAGGCAGGTGGAACTTGAACCCTGACCTTTTGGCTCAGAGTAGGGACACTACCATTGCACAACATCCCTTCTCTTATATTCATGCTTTGCTGAGCAAGAAAGACGACACTAGAATCATACTTAACATAACAAGCTCTACCTGTTTTCAATCCCATTAGATGTTTTATTGCCGCTTCTGCTTCTTTTGCAGTTGTTGTTTTAATTTGTCTCACATGATATGGCTTGCTAATTCCAGTTCTAGATGAAGACTGAGGAACAAGATTGTGTTGAAATCAACTAGAATACGAAACAATAATAACACATCAAACAAAACTCAATATAGAAGCTCAGCAGGTCTGGCAGCTTGTGGTCAGAAATCAGTTACCCCTTGTCAGAGCTCAGAACCATACTGAGGAACGGTCTCTCAACAAGAAACGTTAACTCGGATTTCTCTCCATGGATGCTACCAGACCGGCTGAACTTTTCCAGCAATTTCTGTTTTTGTTTCTGATTTCCAGCATCCACAGTTCTTTCAATTTTTACCATTGAACTGTCTGGCTGAGAAAAAGACACGTTGTTGAGTTTTGTATTTTGTTCATAGGACAGAATTGCAACAATACCAAATTGGAAAGATGACAACTTATACTGTACAAGGAAACGAAGGTGATTTTCTAACATGTGAACTCTGGTCAAGATGCAGCTATGGGGAAGGGATCAGGAAGTAGCTGCACCGCCATCCCACCCCAAGCTTTAATTTATTTCAAAAAGCTACAATGTCTGGTTGTCTTCTGATTGCAAAGAACAGAGCCTTGTGTATAAATGTAAGTAGCTCTATCAAGCAGTTAAAGCATATTTGAAATTGCAATCCTACTGTGTAATGTGCCCCTAGATACAAACCATAGATGTTTGTATCACATCATTCTATCGTGACAATCTAGGCATGCTGCCATTGTCTGAACCTGTATTAATTAAATCTATGAACTTAGCAATTCATGCTGTTGCATTCAGCTTTAATGACATTATGTATGTCTAAGTAGATGGTGCTGCCATGACATCTCCTCTAGGTCCAACTTGCTTGAATTTTTGTCAGTTTCCACAAAAGATGCATCTTCCATGATATGACCCCTATTCATCCTTTTGCATATTTCCAAAACATAGTTGACACATTTGCTAGATTTGAATCTACAGCTGCACGTAAAAATTTCCTTACACACTGTAACAAGCTCAATCCTAATTAACATACTAGTTGAGGAATCTCCTAACGGGTTCTCCACCTCTGTCCTGCATCCCACCTTCAGTGGTCAATGTACGTGGTAGGATTTTTAAGAGTTACATGTACTATAAGATTGGCTTCATTGACAATATCATAAACAGGTCCCAAATCATTTGCGTGCTATGCAAGCTTGATGTTGAAAAAGAACATATCAAAGCCATCTTGCAGGATAATAATTACCCAGATTGGATCACTTCTCGCTGTACATCATGGAAACTCAAAAATGTGCCTAAGGATTGCACTTTCAAACCTGCAAAAAGCCAGATTTCTCCCAGATTACGCTGGAAAGGTAAGGTGTTTCAAAGGTTTGAGCAACACATGATGTTAGTTGTTTTGCACTGCTACTAATCAAAAGCAGCATGAGTGATATTCCCCATTGACATAATGCTGCCATCAAGCCAAGAAGACATTCTGTCTACCACACAAATAAGCTCATAAGTCAAATGAGCTGCAGTGCTAGTGTGATGCCTGATATGTAGTTTACGTATCCAAATGACTGGCAGATCATATCTGACAGCAGTGCAGTACACGCCTTTGGTTGTTTGTAACAGAGTACAGGTTACATCAAATAAACCTAATCACAGAGCATAATATTAGATAACTTTGTGACTGGACAATATTTACCAAATAATTCTGATTGTGCTAACAATAACACTAACAACTAACTTAAGGTCATTTAGGCTCACTTGCTAGAAGCAATATATACATATTTTCATACAAACAAAGGATATATCCATGCATTGCAACTCAACAAAACAAAAACTTGGGGGAACAACTATTCCCTAGATCATTTCCCAAGAATGGCAAAATCTTAAGCAATGACAGTTGACTTCCCTGGTTTGAATTTAAACAAAAGCTTATGGGATAAGATCATCCCCCGACTCCCACAGCTACCTAGAATACACCTCCTCCCACCCACCTTCCTGCAAAAATGCCATCCCCTATTCCCAATTCCTTCGCCTCCACCGCATCTGCTCCCAGGATGAGGCATTCCACTCCCGTACATCTCAGATGTCCTCGTTTTTCAAGGACCGCAACTTCCCCCCCCTCAGTGGTTGAGAACGCCCTCGACCGTGTCTCCCGCATTTCCTGCAACTCATCACTCACACCCCCTCTCCGCAATAACAACCAAAAAAGAATCCCCCTTGTCATCACGTACCACCCCACCAACCTCCGGATCCAACGCATCATCCTCCAACATTTCCGCCATCTGCAATCCAACCCCACCACCAAAGACATTTTTCCCTCCTCACCCTTATCTGCTTTCCGGAGGGACCACTCTCTCCGTAACTCCCTTGTCCGCTCCACACTCCCCTCCAGCCCCAACACACCCGGCACTTTTCCCTGCAACCGCAGGAAGTGCTACACCTGCCCCCACACCTCCTCCCTTACCCCCATCCCAGGCCCCAAGAAGACTTTCCACATCAAGCAGATGTTCACCTGCACATCTGCCAATGTGGTATACTGTATCCGCTGTACCCGTTGTGGCCTCCTCTACATCGGGGAAACCAAGCGGAGGCTTGGGGTCCACTTTGCAGAACACCTACGCTCGGTTCGCAATAAACAACTGCACCTCCCAGTCGCGAACCATTTCAACTCCCCCTCCCATTCCTCAGACGACATGTCCATCCTGGGCCTCCTGCAGTGCCACAACGATGCCACCCGAAGGTTGCAGGAACAGCAACTCATATTCCGCTTGGGAACCCTGCAGCCCAATGGTATCAATGTGGATTTCACAAGCTTCAAAATCTCCCCTCCCCCTACCGCATCCCAAAACCAGCCCAGCTCATCCCCGCCTCCCTAACCTGTCCTTCCTCCCACCTATCCCCTCCTCCCACCTCAAGCCCCACCCCCATCTCCTACCTACTAACCTCATCCTGCCCCCTTGACCTGTCCGTCCTCCCTGGACTGACCTATTTCCTCCCTACCTCCCCACCTACACTCGTCTTTACTGGCTCCATCCCCGCCTCTTTGACCGGTCTGTCTCCTCTCCACCTATCTTCTCCTCTATCCATCTTCTATCCGCCTCCCCCTCTCTCCCTGTTTATTTCAGATCCCCCTTCCCCTCCCCATTTCTGAAGAAGGGTCTAGGCCCGAAACATCAGCCTTCCTGCTCCTCTGATGCCGCTTGGCCTGCTATGTTCATCCAGCTCTACACCTTGTTATCTCTTATGGGATAATAGTTTGCTGGTGCATTCTACATTCTCCTTCTATCAGACACCACTTGCAAGCCAATTAGCACTCTTTTATTCAGTTGTAAAAGCTGGTATTTCTTTGAAATTTTCATGATGGTCAATTAACTCCTCTTGTATTGTATCTCTATGAATTTTGATTAGGTAACTTACAGCTGTCCCTGGAAGAATCTGGGATGGATTCAGAGTCATGGCCTGAAAAGGACTTTCTTCAGATGAAAGCACAGTATCAGAGGCTGATTTTTTCAAGCTTTGTATAGCTAGAAAAAAATCTTCAATTTAAAATTTAAACAATCAAATAAATGGCTGTACTACTAAGCTTAACATGGTCTGTTTACTTGATAGCTAACAGTAGAGTATTTTAATTCTTACTTGGAGGAGGGGGTCTTTGTGGAGGTTGAGGTCGGTCAGGTACTGACACAGATCTGTTTGCTGTACGTGGTTGAGGAGCCGGCTCTTGATTAACAGAGGAACATTTTGCATCGTTTAAAACTGGAAGAAAAACATACTTAAATGGACACAGAAAACCTAATTGCAAAAAGACACAGAAAACCTAATTGCAAAAATTCCCAGCTCAAAGTAATGTAAATAATAATGACATTGATTATAGTCAAAAGTGATTACATACCAGTTATTTCGCTTTTCTGAAGATCCGGCATTCTGTTTAGTAATTGAACCTCAGCAACCTCCTGTGCAGAAGATTCAGGAAACTCTTCAGGTGAATTTTTGAGATTCACTGTTTTTCCCGTCAGCAAATGCTGTGGAACAACTTCGTCTAAGTCTTCATCTAAATCTCCTACAAAGAAAGAAGGTACATTTGATTAATTTCAACAACATACTGAAATGTTTCACTGTTTCACAAATCACATTCTGACAGAAAGTTTCAACAGGGCCACCCTGATACATTCTCACCCCTGGATTGATTCATAACTTAACTGCTAATCACAAGTCGGTATCATACCATCATTCGACATCTCACTTCTCTCACAAACCAGCAATTTACTTTTAAAAATTCATTATAAACAAACTGCAGAGAACATTTTGAATACACTTCCATTTCAGATTCTATAATCAAATGTTACTTTATAACTGAGATGATTAATTGATTTGATTCTTTCCAACAGCAACTAATCCTGCTTCTGGATTGCACAAAACAATTGTTTGAATTATCAGCACGAATAGGATTAGCAATTTTGTTAGACAGAGTTCTCCGAAAATTAGAATTGTGAAGGAAGCAACTAAACCATCTGAAATTTTTGGATGGGACCCATTTACCATCCAGTCAGAAACAACAGGAAGCACTGTAGAGAGCAAAGAGTGGTAGTGAAGAGCTGACAGAACCAATTTCTCTTCAAAGAAAAACCTGGCAAAAGCAGTATGCTAAACAGTCAGAAAAGCAAAAGATGACTGGAATCTATAAGTGGGGCACCTTCTGTGTGCAGAACATGCTTTTTAAATTGCTTTAAATGAAGAAAAAAATGTGAGGGAATGTGGCAGGAATGAGGCACAGACTCAAAGAAAAACAATGATTATTTACCTGAACATAGAAGGAGGAGAAACCAAAGCAAGAGAAGGAAAATTAGGAGTAATTATTTCAAACATGCTGGTTTGCGGAGAGGTGTTATGAGAATTTGTAATGTCCTGGGGCATTAGCCTATTTCAGCAGAGCTGACATAAGCATTATTATAGGGTTCTTCAAGTAATGCTTTTCCAACTGACACAAAACACCCTTGCAATGCTTGACAGGATGGTGGAAGCAAACTCAATAGTAGCCATCATAAGGAAACTGGATATACGTTTGAAAAATAAAAATTGTCAGGGTGTGGGAAAAATAACCAGAAAATATGACTAACTGGATTGTTCTTTGGAAGAGCTAATGCGGACTTGGTGGGGCAAATGGTCCCCTTCTGATTCTGAGATTGGAGGCTGTGAGAACGTCGTGTATGGGAGACAGTGAGGTTCCAAGTATTGTAGGCAATAAACCCTCAGGTATTGAATATGCTGATTGATTCAGCACCGTTCCTTCTGTGGAGCAGAAAATGTTGGCTCTATAAATTTAGGAAAAAATTTATGCAATGGCATCGATGAACACAAACTAGTGAGCTAAGATGAACATTTATCATGACATAACGTGTGCTTGTTGAAGATATCTCCTTGTGTCACCAAAATGTTGTTCAGCATCCGTAATCTATTTCACATTAAAAAAACAAAGATAATATGAATAATTATATTCAATCTGATACAGAAAGAAATTTGTGAAATAAATACCACACGCTATTGAAGCTTCAAGTTTTGCACACATCACAACAGAATTACAAGAATATCAAATCTCAAAGAGAATAACAATTTACACTGCATAAGAAAGGGCATTGACTAGTTAGCAGGTGGACTCTAATTTGTAAAGGTATTGCTTTGGAGAATGTTGCTTGGAACTGTTGACGCCCAAATGACTGATTAATTAAAAGAAAAGGCACTGTCAGGACATATTCCCTCTGTCTTTGCAAGTAAAAAAATTCTGAAAATGCATAGGTTACAGTAAATGAGCTTTTTTTTCTTTATTCATTCATGGGATGAGGGTATGGCTGGCTAGGCAGCATTTATTCCCATCCCAGAGAGCAGTTAGAGTCAACCACATTGCTGTGGGTCTGGAGTCACATGTAGGCCACACCTGGTAAGGATGGCAGTTTCCTTCCCTAAGGATATTAGTGAACCAGAAGGGGTTTCCCCTGACAATCGACAACGGATTCACGGTCATCATTAGACTCCTAATTCCAGATATTTACAGAATTCAAATCCCACCATCTGCCATGGTGGGATTCAAACCCAGCTCCCCAGAACATTATCTGGGTCTCTGGAATAACAGTCCAGTGATAATACCACTAGGCCATCGCCACCCTTGCTATATGGCAAACCTTAACTTTTATTGTACAATTAGTTCTTAACACAATCAGGATCTCTCCCAATGCCATGGACATATATTATTCTTTGTACTTGTATTTGGTCTTCAGTTTTAGATTTTCTTTCACTTAGCTCTTGTTTCTTACATTTGTCAGTCATTTGATATGAGAATTTTCAGCACTTCTATTTCTTATCTGTAGAATTATTCTATAACAGTTTTGACCAGCTTGCAGTTGCAAGTCTATTACATCCTGTTAAAATTGGCCTTAAATTCAATCTAAGTAACTGAATTTCATTTCTGCTTTCCAGAAGTAATATTTGAATTAATTCTATTATGATTGATAGAAAAATATTATTAAAGCCTTGTCTCTCATCAGCTCCAGAAAATTATATGAATTCACCCGAGATATTCACTATTTTCCTAATGCAAGCTTCTTTACTCTTCCCAATGACCATGGAAGTTAAAGGCTCTCTTCAAAACAACTTTGCTTTTCCTATAAGCCTTTCTAATCTCCAAATCAATATATTCTGCCACCTCATTGCTGTCATCAGGTAATTTAGAATCAGAGTCATACAGCAAGGAAACAGACCCTTCAGTCCAACTTGTCCATGTTGACCAAGTTTCCCAAATTGAACTAATCCCACTTGCCTGCATAAAGCCCATATTCCTCTAAACCTTCCTATTTATGTTCCTGTCCAGATATCTTTTAAATGTTGTAACTGTACTTGCATCTATCACTTCCTCTGGCAGTTCATTCCACATACAACCCACTCCCTGTGTGAAAAAGTTGCCCCTCAGGTCTCTTAAATCTTTCTACTCACCTTAAAAATATGCCCTCTAGTTTTGACCTCCCCTACCCTTTGCTATTCATCTTATCCAGGCACCTCATGACTTTATAAACTTCTAACAGTTACCTCTCAACCTCCTACACTCCAGCGAAAAAGTCCCAGCCTACCCAGCCTCTCCTTATAACTCAAACCCTCCAGTCTCAGCAATATCCTTGAAAATCTTTTCTGAACCCTCTCCAATTTATCATTTCTCTCATTTTCCAAGGCAAAGCCACTTCCAATCAAGAGTCCACCAACCAATCAACCAGCACCATCCTCTCATACAGTACATATTATTATTACCTTTGTGATTTATTGATACAGAAAAAATACTTGTATTTCAAGGGAATTATGAATTTCGTGTGATATCAGAGGGCGTTCTCAGCAGCAAAAGAATTGAGAATACCTATAACAGATTTATTTGATATTGCAAATTGGCTGTGACATTTGCCTACATAATGTCAGTCAATACAGTTCAAAATTATAGAGTGCATTAATAATTGGTAAAGCATCATATAAAACCAACCAAATAAAAGCAAAAGAACTGCAGATGCTGTAAATCAGAGACAAAAATAGAAATTGCTGGAAAAGCTCAGCAGGTCTGACCGCATCTGTGGAGAGAAATCAGGGTTAATGTTTCGGGTTGAGTGACCCTTCCTCGGGACTTTTGTCTCTGATATAAAACCAAGCATTTAAGTCCAGCAATTGAAATAATTGCAATAATTGATATGAACGTGGAGGGGAAGCTGCAATGTTGGTATACTCACAGTAACTGCGGCAGGTCAGGCTGGAGGTTCAATCTGTAGAAGTTAAATACTTTGCTATTCACTGCTGTAGAATGATAGCGCTTGGGTAAGGCTGTGTTGTGTATTTTTGAGTCTTTAACGTTTTCCCACCCACCATGGAGTTAATATTGAGGTCAGTCCTTCTAACAGTAAGGATACTGTGTTACTGTAGCTTCCTTATCAACAAAGTAATCAAAGATTTTAATCTCAAAACAGAACTCAAAATGTGTTTCAGTAACATTCTGATACTATATTCATGTCTGGTTTCAATATCGGCAGAATGCTTGTAGGCAGTAAAGGGTTGATTGAATTTTGGGTTTTCTTGGATTACTGGTATTCTACAAGGATGTTAGGATCTCCACTATTTACATTTTGATTAATGACCTACTGTCAGTGTTCATAGAATGACCTACAACTTTGCAGAAATTATTAATATATTGGCTAGATTCACTGCAACTGATTGAAGTTGGTGCCTACTTTACTACAGAGAAAGGAGCTACCCGTTTGAAGAGTCTCTGGCAAGTGGTTAAGGTTTTATTCTATTCTCAAGTTCTAACATGAATACAAATTGGTGGCAAAGTAATAAACAAATAGAAAAAGAAGCAAATGGTATAATTAAATAATTAATTAGAGCTAATGAAGGATGGTAGGACAGGTGATGGGTCATGTAGGTCCTGCATAACATTGTGATCCACAGCAAACATATCTGCAACAAGTGTTTGAAGTTTGAGCAGCTTTGGTTCAGAATTGAGAGACAGTTCAAGCATCAGAGCAATTTGTATCCCACAAACTCCTTCCTAGCACAGGGCTGAATACAAATCAAATCCTGCCAAAGATGCAAGGGCCCCAGTCAAATCCTCACCCACATTTCTGGGTACTCCCCATGCTTTATGTGTGTGAGAATAATGTGCCACACCAAGATCATAAACCAACTTCAGCAACTTGTCTCCAAGGACGGCTGGATATCTTACCTTGGAGCCAAAACTGAAAGTCATTGTGGCAGCTTCTGGAAATCAGGGATCATTTTTAGAAAGGCCAAGAAGTCAAGGTGGTAGGCGTCACAGTCTGATGAAGATGACAACGTGCATAAGAGTAGGCACGGGAAGATAAAAGACTGAAGTCTCAACAAGTTGGATCAGGGATCATAGAATTGACGGGGGGTTCTGAGCCCAAATACTTTGGCTTTGTGCTGGGTGCAGAAGGCAAATGTCTTAAGCTCAACAACAGTCTCATGATTTTCCTTAAAAATTCAAAGATATAAATCATCCACCCAGCATATCTCACA